ATGTGCTCCTTTTCTACGCAAAAAGCACAGGCCAGGGCTTGATTTTACATTTAAGATTTTGACACAGCCTGCCTGCAGCCTGGAAAGTCAAAGCCTGGGCTAACTTGATTCATCCCAGTGGGGCTTTCTTATCGTTCCTGCAGAGACGTGCTAATGATCAGCAGTCCCTGCTCCCTGTGATCTGCCTAGCTCCTGACAGCTCAGCCTGCAGCTGTAGCGAGACCAGAACTGTGAGCAGACTTTGTTTTCTCTATACGCACTAAATTCACTCTTTCTGAAGGATGCCTGAGTGGCGGGGCTGAGTGTATGGGTTCTGCAGGGAAACTGTTCCACTCCATTGGTCAGAGAGGTTTTCATTGTACCCCTGAGGACAGACCAGGCCATCCAGAGAGGGGCTAGCTCTTTGGTATGAAGACCATGGATCCATTGCTCCATCACTATCCTACCCACACTGTGACTTCCCCTCACACTCACTCCATACCCCTGCAGAGTGACATTGGTTTCTTGACAGTCTCAAGAAATGGCAAGATCTACTGCCCTTTTTGGCATAGGTTTGGACCATGCCCACAAAGCACAGTCTCGCTGAGGAAAAATTGTTAGAGTGCAGAAAAGCACCACTTGCACACTGAGATGTCCCCTGAGTGACCAGTAACTGTGGGCGCCACCAGCCTCCCTCTGAGCTCTTGGGGATGTTCTGGGATGCTCTCCACTTTCTACTGCATTCCTCTGACTCCCCACAGCCATGTGCCCCATATGTCCCCATAGGCCATTTCAGCGTGACATGAACCAGGGAAGGGCCACTCTGATGACAGCCAGTTAAGTTGGAAACACCCTCCACTCATAGCAAAATGTGACTAGTGTGTTTCTGCAGGGCACCCAGAGCAGATAGCACAGTGACAGCTGTCAATAAGAGGCAGAGGTGAAGAAATAAAAGGAAACCATGCGCATATACTTACACCAACACCACCTGCCAGATATTTCCCTGGATTCACCGAAGTTGCTGCAGATGCTTTCCTGATGCCTCTTGTGAGTATGTCCTCCCACATGTGCTAAGTCCATGTCTGGGTGCCTTCCTCAGACCTCAGAGGCACCGAGTCCTTTCCTAAGGACCCTGCTAGCTTTTGGCACTCCTCCCACCTCCCCCAGCTAGTCCCATCTTGAGAAGGCAGTTTTGACACTCCGCCAGCTAACCTGAAGCCTTGTCACAGCTCTCTGGAGCTGCAGTGGTACTTGGGAGGTCTGGAGGCAACCTTCCAGAGTCAGCTGGGTTGGTATTTTGCCCATCTCCAGCCACTGATCTTGTACTTTCTATTTCCCTATACAAAACATATTTGATGAGAACACCTGCATGCAACAACAGCATGCAGCTCACGGTTGGCTCTTGTTTGAAATCACTCTTGAGAATCATCGATCATTTTGAGGGTGACTCACACCTGCAATCCATCCTCAAGGAACAGAGCACCAGTGTGTGGTGGGACAGAACCTGTCTTTAGCTGTTATGGTCTCCTGCTGTGCCCAGACCAGCCCTCTGCTACCTGCGTCAGGCTGGGCACCTGAAAAGCTGGGACATCAAAGTTTCCTTCCTGATTTAGGAAATCAGCAGAGCAGCTATGCTTGCAGAGCTGCCCATGCAGCTCAGAACCCCACTGATGAAGGCAGCAGTGTCCAAAGACAGCAGCGTCCAAAGGCAGCAGGACTGCAGTCCCTGGCTGAGTGCATACACTCACGTTTGTCTCCAGAGCCGGGATGCTGGCCAAGGAGTGTGTGCTGCACCCCTGCGGCAATGCACAGGCTGTTCTGCAAGGACTCAGCATTCAGCTGGCAGCACCAGAGGTCTTTTCAAATGGCATCTCCTGGATCTGCACTAGGAGCTGCCAGAACTCGTAGTGAGTGTTTAGGGCCCAAGCTGAAACCTACAGTCAGAGCTCATCCAAAGTGAGGACTTGTCTCCATGCTCCTTGTTTTCTGGTTAAAAGGGGGTCTGCTGGTTCTGCAGGGGGAATGGGAGCAGAGGGGAGATGCCAGAGAAACCCTTCTTTCTATGCTGCAGACCCCTGGGCAGAGGGAGGAGCGGGAGGCTGGGGAAGGGGCTTGCACAGAAAACAGAGGCTGAAACGTACCTGCCTTGATAATCTGAGGCGGGGGCTGCTGGCTGGGGGCCCTGGAGAATATCATCTTCTTGGAGTCCACCAGGAGACGGCAGTAGCCTGCGATCAGGCAGGCAAAGTTGGTGGCTTCAGGCCACTCCATTAGCAACACTAGCGGCTGGAAGGCAAGAGAGGCAAAGCGCATGAGGGCCACACAGCTCAGCTGACACGGGAACAGTGCTCCAAAGGGGCAGTGCCCTGCACTGGTGTTAACTGGTGAGCTGGCTGGCACTTTTAGCACCCACAGAGGAAAAAACAGCCAGGTGCATGTCCTTGCTCCAGATCACCCAACAGATCGCTATGCACAAGAAAGTGCCCCGCTGCAGCTGCAGCTCCTGCTTGCTGACTCCCCTAAGAGTGATGGAAGAGGTGGAGCCCCGCAGGGCACAGCCTGTGCACCACAGGGCCCCCATGCAACTGGCTCCTGATCCTTTGTCTGCACGTCAATGCTCTGAGCCTACCTGCAAGCGCCAGTTTAACCATCGGGCCCTGGGGAGCTCAGGCAGTTTGTGGAGTCTCCTGCTGCCAGAACCCCTATTTCATTGCAGGCACCACGTCGCCCTCCCATAAACTAAGGCATCTGCTTCCAGCAAGATGCAGAAGGGGCAAAAAACCATTACAGGCTTCCCCAGCCACCACTCTGAGCCTGTGGATCTTATTTAAATCTAACCCTTCAGAAAATTAAATTTGTGCCTAGGAGCAGATGGTGGCTTCTCTTTTAGGAGAGCATTTATTCGCACACAAAAAAGGTCTTCGCTTTAGAGAAGAAAAAAAATGAGACGATCTGTGTGCCACATATAACCTCACTGCACAATCTAGCGGCACACACTGTGACTCCCCAACTCCTGGCTTGTCTCAAGGAGAAGGTTAGCTAGCCCGGGGAAGCTGTCGGGCTGGTATCCGCTCTTACCTGCCCTGTGAGGTCCCATGCACTGCTGGGACCCGGCTGGGCAGAGCAGCACGCACCAACACAGCTCAGTTGAGCCTCCAGCACTGCTCAAGGTGGACGCATGAGGTGGAAAAAAAATTGACAGTGCCTTCAATAAAGTTATTGCATGGCAGTTCTAGCCCTCATCTACCCATTGCACAAGGCACCCCTACCTAAAGGACTTTCTACCCAGGGACAGCGTATATCTGAGGCAACAGGGATGTTTAGCTACTGCTGTGGCTCGCGCTGACCATCCTGCCGTGCTCAGTCTCTTGCACACTGACAGCCCTCCGGGCTCAGAAGAACTCATTTACCACATCCAGGGCAAACCAAGCCCATTTTAAAAACCACTTAAGCCTACGCAGTGTGAAAAGCATTAAAGCTATTTTGGTTTTCTTGTTTCAGAACCACAGGAGGTTCCTGGTACCCACTGGCCAGTTCTGTGCTCTGCTCAATGCCTGCTTTTTCAAGCCATCAAGCCAACTCTGGCAAAGGAAGACCCAGCCTTACAGCACATCATGCTCTGGACCATACAGTGCAATAAACCTGGGTGCGAAGCCAGCAGAGCCGTGTGTGATCCCCAAGCCATGCCAGCCCCTGGCAGGGGCTGACTCCTCCTAGGGCCAGGGTAAAGAAGTTCCCTCCTTGGCTGCTAGGCAGGAAGAGAAAGGAAAAGAAATAACCTGACAAGTGAACGTGCTCTGCTGAGAGGCTCTGCCCCTCTCTGCTTGACGAGGCTCTTTCTGCATCAGGGAAAATAAACCTGAGATGACACAGATCAAACAGAAAGTATCAAGATAGAGAGAAAGGAGAGAAGAGATTCTCCACATAGCTTGAAGGAGGCAGGCATGCAGCGGTGAGCGGGGGTGACACCTCTTAGCCTAGCTTCAGTCTTGACATAAGTGATGAAAGGAAACCATGTGTTCCAGTTCTGCCACAGGAAGCGTCCTTAAAACAAGTGCCTTCTACATAGGGCTAAGTCTTGGGTTTTTCAAGCCATCTATTGAATGAAGAGACATTTGTGCATTTCTCCCCCTCCTATGCAGCAGTGAGGGTTGGAGTGCTAGCAACAAGAAAGCAAGCAAACACCAAGGGCAGGGAGGCAATGGCTGATGAATATTCACTACCGGGAGATTAAATGAAGAGGTCAAGGTGGGTTGAGAATTCCCTTTCAAAAGGAAAACTAGGGGGTAGTTTCCACCACATGCAAGTCAAACACCAGAGATTCATGGCTAGTCCTTGGGGACAGAGTCATGGACCTTCATTGCCTCCCTCTCAGTGCTTGCTGTCCAGCCTGCAGTGCAGTCCCGGTGCCCCAGCTGGGTACCATTACCTCTGAGACCCAGCCCTGTTTCCATCTTTGCTCAGATACCTCTGCTTCAGGCTGCTCACACCCATCCAGAGATGGGACTGTAGGTTCCTGGTGGCAAGAAGCAGCCCCTCAATCGGTCTTCTCCTGAAGGTAGACAGGACTGAGACACAACCACCCTGACTGGTGTTTCTTGCCCACAAATACAAGACATGCAACGCACCAAGATGCCACGAGCTCCCTGCCAGGTCTCCGAGCCAGCCCAGCCTCCAGACTGGCTTCCAGCAATTGGTGTGTGGCATGCTGGGGTTAATTGTAGCACTCTGCTCTGGAAAAGAGGAATCTTAATACTGATTAGCATTACAGCTTAGCAAGGGGTCTTAGAAACGATTACTCTCACATCCTGGCAAGCAAGCAGCATGAGAGTTCTTCTCTAATTGTCAGGCATTCAAATATTGTTATTAGGGATTAAATTGTGTTAGGGGCAGCTTGAAGCCGTCCACCCACACTGCCAGGGCAGCACTCCAGTGAGCTCCCCATGGCCCTGGAGCCCCCACTGCAGGGGCTCTGTGTCCTGCTGATGGACTGGCTGTTTAAAAGGACAGTGAATGTGAGCAAAGCTGCTGCAGTCGGGCTGTGTGTCTTCCCCGGCCTCGGCGGCTCCTCTGCAGCTCACTAGCAGAGGTCTGGCTGTAACCCTTTCCCATACAGGGATACAAGACTGAATGTCTCTTCCACCCACCTAGGTAATTTTGCTGAGATTGCAGCAGCTCAGCTGCCTTTGAGACTTCCACCCTGCTGCCACATCTCCCTGAAACATGAATAGATCTGAAAGTGATTTGTGGGGTCAAGAGGCAAAAAGGCAACACAATCGCAGCAACCTTGTTTCCTTGGGCAATCAGGCTACAAAGAGGAGGTGCCAGGAATGGCAGCTAACAGAGATGTTATTTTTAGACATCGACAATCTTGGTCACCCTGTTCCACGCAGGCAAGGCAAACGAGGTCTTGTGGAGACAGCTGGGCACAAGCAAGCTGAGCAAACATTGACTTTCTGAACAGTTGCATGGAACATTTCCAACTAATATTGCTACAGGTTTTAGATGGTAAATTCACGGCAGCTTTGCAAAGAGCTGCTCTAAGTAACAACAATGCAGGACTGTAGTCTGTGCTTTGGGCTTCCTTGTGATACCCATTGCAGCGAGCGGGACTGATCTCCTTTCTTTTGGACATGTCCTGCAGGGAGCAGTGAGGGCTCGTGCCTGTGGTCCAGCATTGGCCTGGACCCCAAGTGGTTAGGCTTCACGTAACATCCCTGTCTCCCCCTGCAATTTTTTTAACTCGCTGCTCAATCTCAGCGAGACCTGACAAAAAGGCAGCAATCTGAAAAAGCATGAATCTTCGCTACGTTTTCTAAACGCGGTGGTGCGGTAGAGCAGAGAGACTTCTGTGTGCAGCCAGAAGGCAGAGAAGGATGCAGCAGGAGCAAAACTCCTTGTTGTTCCTCTAAGACCTGCTCCCTGCCCCATCAGCACTGATTTTCTTGGAACTGGCCACAAAACGCAGTACCTCTTTCCCAGCTTTTAATCAGGAGATGGTGTTAACTACCAGTGGGGAACAGGTTATTAACTAGGATAGTAACCCTCCAGTTATCCTCCCGCCATGCACCAATGGCGTGTCTCATGCCAACCAGTCATTCCTCTTCCTCCTTCTCACCGGCACGCTCTCACTGTGACAGTGATGGGGGCTCATACCTCAGCGGCCCCAAGGGCTCTGCTTCTCTGGGATGCCAGAGCAGAAATGCCAGTCTGATTTTTGTCAGGGCAGCAGCACCTTTAGGATGAAAGCTGGTTTTATATAGAAGCAAACTTCCTGGGATAATCCTACTGCTCTAAAAATTCCAAACATCAGATTCCCAGTGGGATGCACAGGTAAAGGTTCATGTCTGACCCGTAACATGCCAACATGAAAAGAAGAAAATTTTAAAGAGAATGTTCTTTCTACATCTAAATGCATAATATCAGACTGAAATTATTGATGTTTTTGTTTCACTTATACTGGTTTTCTAGATTTTCTAGTCCTAATGAGAAAAGGATATTTTTTCACTTAAAAGTTTCCTGCTTGGCAACCAGTCTCTCTGGAAAGTAAAACAAAATACATTTATATTGGATATGAGAGATAAGTTTTCCATTAGCTTATTAAGGATATAGTGCTTTTTCTATTACGCCCTGCCTTTAAATCAACTCTTGATGTCCTTCTGGAGAATATTCTCTTATTCAGACAAAGGTGAAGGTTTCATAGAAGAATGTCTGGAGGAAATTTTATGGCCAGGGTTTTTCTAGAAGATCTTAACAGTCCTCACATTCAAATTAATTTATGACCTGATCTGTGCATGCTATAACACCTAAGCTTATGTGCATTTCCTTTTAATCTCCTCCCTTTATAATGTACTTTGGGTCTCATCCTGCTTCCTTTAATGTAGTGCAGTAGAAAGGTGGGAGATGAATTAACATAATTTATGTTCCCTGGTTTACCTGAGGTGCACTGCCAAGTGTATATTTAATAATACAGGTATCCAGGCCTAATGAGACAGCAGTCAATTTTTCACTTGTACATTGACCTTTCCTTCTCTCCCTTTAAGCATTATTAACTCAGCTCTATCAATACCAGGCTGCTTGTGATTAGGACCATTATTTCCCATTTATTGATCAATAAACCTCCTGCCTTTGTCAGCGGCAGACCTTCAGCTTTCTGCAGCAGCATCTCCTTCCTTAGGGTCTGAGCAGCTGCCACCTCTGCTGGGTGAACACCCTCCTTGTTCCCTGCACGGTCCCACAAAACGTCACAGTGGATGGAGAGGTACCTCTATAGACTACACACTTGT